CTGGTCAGTTTCAGCAGCGGCTGAATCTGGACGCCAGTTCTGACTTGCATACAAATTCAACTTAAGAACAAACCTACAGTCCCTATCTTGTACGTAACCCGGGGACTGCCTGTATATACACAGTTTAACAGATAAAAGGTAGTAAAGTTGTAGTACGCTGTCATTTCAAAATGTCTTGTAGGGCTAACCCATGCCAAGCAGCATGAGACTTGCTTATTTTTAGGAATCTTTGCCTGTCAGAGTCCAGATAGCAAAAAAGATCCAGTTTCTCCTTGATGAGATTTTTATCCCTCCATTCCAGAGCCCAAATTGATGGGATGAGTTCACATGTAATTACTAGAGGTAATTAGGAATGCAGCCAACAGGGCCTCTCCTTTGATGCTATAACTCATTTGACTTAGTTGAGCCATCTTGTATACTGATGAGCCCTTTTTCTTATTTAATGCTTCTTTTCCTGTTTAGGACATTGTATAATTACAGAGGTTTATAGTGCATAGATAACTCAGTATAATTCAATATAACTTTGTGCATGGATTGGTTATAAGTGAGATCAATATATGCAGCATCCTGCAATCATTTTATAAAATCTCAACACCTATTTATCAACTTAGCATTTAGTACTTATTTTGATAGTACCAACACACGTGAAAGGAAAACTGGTTTCCAACTGTGGTTTTGTAAGTGTTCAGTGAAGTCTAGGGCCATGCCTTGAGCTGGCATTTGGTCTGTCAGGAATAGTGTCTCTCACACGTCCGCGAAGTGTGTGCAGTATATTTTTTCAATGTCTTGTTCTCTTAAGTTTTCTAACAACAGAAGTCTTTGAAGGGCTTGAGCACTGATGTGTATTTTCAACTACTCATTTGTGAGTGTGTGCGCAACTTGCAATTTTTCAATATTGGTGAGGCCAGCTTCATTTTTCACATTGACTTTTATGCAGTATGTAATAATTAACACCTAGTTTAATTCTTTGTGTTCAGAATGGAGAAAAACCTCCTGCTGACGGAGTCCCAAACACTACGAAATCAGTACCAGATGGCTGTTGCAGACAAGGACCGGCAGATTGCAGAATTACAGAAATTACAGCATGACATGATTGTTAAAGAATCTGTGTCCATTGATAGCAATTACCCTATCAAGGTAAACCAGACCATTTTTTAAAATCAAACAAAAGCACTTGGTCAGTTAATATTTTTAATCTTGAAAACCATTTCCAGAAATAGAACTATGATACCAGAGCATTGGAAGATACCAAATAATGTGTGTATATCTAAATAAAGCTCCATGGGTGATCGAGGTATTTACAGATCAGTAAGTCTGAAATCTGTACTTAGTAAATTGCTTGAAACAATCATTAAAGCAATAGTAAAATATTTGGAAACCATGATATATTGGGTTTCATGGTTTATGTAAAGGAAGATCACGCCTTGTTAATTTGTAAGATGACTTTGAATGTCTGAGGAAATGGAAAGGAAAGGAAAGGAAAGGAAAGGAAAGGAAAGGAAATGGATAAAAGGCAAACTAGCTGACACAATTAGACTTTCAAAAAGCCTTTTAAAGCCTCTCACAAAACCTAAGTGTGCGCACCAAGCAAATTAGGTTCTGGACCATGATTAGGCTTCTAAGTGCTCCAGTAATACAAATAAAAAATAGTCCTGTGGTAAGAAGCAAAATACAGGAAACCCTCACCTTCACGGTGGAGGTATTCCCATATCCATTGCAATTGGCAAAATTTGTGAATACAGGAATCGCAGCACCTGGCCCCCACAGTGAGCTGCCCGTGGCTTCCAAACTCACTGCAGAGGGCCAGGAACTGCAGAAGCTCACCACAGCTGCCAGGAGCCATGAGAACTCACCGTGGCTCTGGGAATCTGCAGGGAACTCACTGTGGCATTAGGCAACCACGGGGATCTCACTGTGGGGGCCAGGAGCTTCGGTGAGTTCCCTGTGGCTCCTTGCTCTGGCTTTCCTCCAGCTGGGACAGGAAACCCACGAATACGCAGAACCTCAAATAGCAATTCCACGAATTGTGAGGGTCCTCCTGTATTCTCATGGGTCAAACACTGACCAAGAAACAGAAAATGAAGAGTAGAAATAAATGGCTAATTTTTATATTGGCCAAATATTAACAGTGGGCTGGTTCAAAGTTCTCAGTGAGATTCTATGTTAATTACTGTGTTTATTAATGATCTAGAAGGGGAAGTGAGCAGGAAAGTAGAAAGGTTGCCAAATTTGCATATGGCGGCAAAATTTGTAGTTAATAAGATTATTTAGATTAGTCAAGCCCAGAGAGGTAGAGGCTCTTTGGAGAGACTGAACCAAACTAGGTAAATTGTCTCTGGCTGATGAAGTTCTGTGCTGGTAAATACAAATTAATGCATATGGAAGAGAAAATATTAAACTAGTTGAGTAGTTTTCCACCTTACAGGATTCTGAATTAACTGTATTAAATCAAGAATGGGACCTGATTGTCATTATGAACAGCTCAGTGATGAGCTCTGTTACACTTATAAGAAGCACATGGGATCTTTATGGGGGAATAGGCAATACCCTGTGTTTATTAAGAATACAATAGAAAAGCAACTAGTACATGCTCACATAGGCACACGCGCGCATTCTCTCTCTCCCTCCTATCTTCCCTCCCACCAATCGATGTTATATTTACCAGTCCATGGTTCAGTAATTTTTTTTTCCCATCGTGCTCTAATCAATCGCTGTTTGATGAGTGCTTGTTTTCGTTAGTTGTTGTTTTCTTATCACAGCTATCTTGTCTCAATTGATAGGTGTTTGCCCTATCTGTTAGGGTTGTGTCAGTCTGCCCTTCATCCGCATCCCAATGGGGTATACAGCAATCTCGTGGCATTTTTACGTCTGTCCTCACTTCTCCCTAGAACATCTGGTCTGGTGATGGCCTTCGCACTTATCTTCTAACAGATTTTTCATTCACATGCACAAAACAGACTTAATTTCTTTGTTTCATAGACACAATATGAATATTGAAGCAGGAATATCAAATTATAATTAAAAAACCCTTTTACTTATTTCACAATACTCATTTTAAAACTTAAAATTATAAGATCTATTTCTGCCTTGGAATCAGCTTTAGACACAGTATTATGGCTGGTGCACCTTTACCAATGGTAAGGTAAAAGTCCTTTCTGTTGGCAGAGCACACTGAGACACATTACTTTAGTGACATGGCTATAGCTCTGCTTATTGGGCAGTTGAGGACAGAAAAACTAATAAGATAGTAGGATACATAAGGAAGGGGATGAAGAATGATAGTGAAAATATTGTCATATCTTTACATAAATCAATCTGGAATAGCATGTGCAGTATTGGTCACCTTATCTCATAAAAAATAATATAGATTTAAAGAGTGATGGGAATGACAAAAGGACTCACTCAAAGGAAGAAAGCTTGAAAAGAAACAACAGGGAACATGCTAAAAGCATATAAAGTATGCAACATGGTATACAGAAGTAAATTGGGGCTTCTGTTCTCCCTTCTCCTCCCCCAAGAACAAGGGGACATTCTGTGAAATTAAAAGGTGACAAATTCAAAATTTGTAAAAGGGAATAGTGTTTCACCCAAAATTTAGTGAGGCTGAGAAACTCCTTGCTACAGTCTGTAATTGAGGCCAAAAACATAGCAAGATTCCAGAAAGAATTATTCATTTCTATGGATTACCAGAACATCTTGAACTATTTAAGAATTAACAAATGTTGGAAGGGATATTACCAGCTTTAGGGTTTAAAGCCATCCTCAAATAGCTGGAAATTAGGCAGAGACCAGATGTGAAAGCAAGATTAACCCACGTGTCCAGTGCAAGGGTTCTTTGCACCTTCCTTTGAAGCATCTGGTACTCACTGCTGTTGCAGACAGAATACAGGAGTAGATGGACCACAGATCTCATTCATTCTGGTAATACTTCTGTTCCTCAGATTTTGTGTATGAATAATAATGATCTTAGGGAAAGTGTTATTTCAACCTAATATCATCTTTGATGTTTCTGACCGAAAGGAAAGTTGTAGTAAGTTACCTTCTAATTTAGCTAAGAACAATAATTGTCACTAGGCAAGATTAAGACTATAATATACTAACCATTTCTGATCATCAAATCATGAATAATATGAAAAAATTTCTAACAGTGATGACTATTAGAATGTGGAATAGTATCTTGAAGGAAGTGGAAGAAGGCGCATTGTATGACTGTATATGTAAAACTGGTACTAGAAATCATAGGTAGGACGCTGCCCTTTATTGTTGGGAGTTGGATTGGATTGTAGAATAGCAGACCAAATAGAGATGGACATGGCTTACCTTCTATGATTCAGAGTAACAAGTTATGGTGTTATTTTTCTAGAGGGGTACTACCTGCTTTAAGTACATACTTGCAAAATATCCATCTTTCTTTATCCAAGTTACTAGCATAAGGTGGTGTTAAAACTGATAGGACTTTAAAAATTGAATTTGCTTTCCATTGTTTTTCATTCATACATTTTCTGCATTTTGCTTCACTTAGATACTTAAAATCAGTGAAGTCAATCTCATTTGTTTAGAGTAATTTTCTCTTTGTGTTCCCAGTGTTGAAATGGATGGGATGGAAACACCAGAGGGATGTTAGTTTATATCAATGTTCCCCAAACTTTCTCTTATACCCTATGTAATAGAACCTCTCCATGACATGGTTGGCAGCTGCAGCTGGGAACAGAGCCATAGTCAGGGCCAAGGCTGCAGATAGAAGTCAGGGCCACAATTGGGGCTGGAGACCGTGGTCAGAACTGTGACTGGAGCCAGGAGTACAACTGGCACCTTCCCTGTCCCATGTTGGGGTGAGCCTGGGCCTCGCTGCACCCCCCAAGGAGCCTGTGCCCACAGTTTGGGGACCTCAGGTTTATGTAAATTAGAACAGGTTTTTTTGGAAACTTGAGAGAAACATGTGAAAGGGAAATAATAGTGGGACTGTAGACACCACTGGTTTAAAACATGTGTTGTTAAAACAATGGATTATGTATCATTACCAAACCAATTTCTGTAGATTTAACCCTGAATTTTTGGGTGGTGTTTAAGGCATTAGAAACAGCCACTCTGGTTGGAAGTCCGAACACCCCCGAGCAAGTCAAACATCTTTTAGCTGAGAGGAGCCAGTTTCACAATGAATTGCAACGCTGTCTTCAGGAAATGCACCAGAGGGAGCTGCGTTTCCAGCAGATGAACTCAAAGGTGGGGAAAGAGATAGCAGTGAGTAAGTACTCTGGGTAAATGTGGAGCATAGCTAATGTTAATGTAGGAATATTTTCAACAGCTAGAATCTGGGACCAGGACATATTTAATGTTTGTATTGAGTATTTATATTACTATTGCATTAGCTCATGCAACTGTAGCTGTTACTTGACTTAGACAGGGACTCTTGACCCTGCAGTTTGCAATGCAGAAGTAGGAGCACCAAAACTACATCACAATCAACACAAAAAAGAGTACATTTGAGATGGGAACTGTTGAAATTCCTCCACACTTAGGCTATGTCTACACTCTATCTTGCGCCAGAAATATGCAAATGAGGCTAAGCATGGAATATCGCCGAGCCTCATTTGCATATCTAATGAGCCACTATTTTTGTAGAAGAGGCTCTTGCGCCAGAAGGAGCGCCTATACTGCCCCTTCTTGCGCAAGAAAAACCTTCTTGCGCAATGCCGTGACGCTGATTATTTCCTTCTGGTGTAAGAGCCTCTTCTGCAAAATGTCGGCTCATTAGATATGCAAATGAGGCTCGGCGATATTCCATGCTTAGCCTCATTTGCATATTTCTGGCGCAAGATAGCGCTAGGGTAGACATAGCCTTAGTATTGTATTTGAGCTATATTGTGTCAAATTTTAGAAGTCCCTTAAAATACATCCATAAAATCAGCAGGTATACCAATTTGCAATTATAAACCAGGGAATCATGTATGCACAAGCAGTTATGTGTGCAGTTTTCTATCATGCACCAATTTGTTAACGTACTCTGTTAGTGCATGCATGATCTTTGGAAAAGCATGACCCTTGGAATACTATGTCTTTAAAATCTTTCCTTTGTTTTCTGTTGAAAATTGTCGATCCGTACTTTTGCCGCCACCACTGTTTGATGATGCACATTTTTCAGCCTATATAAAATTGCTCTTAACTATAAATCTTGTCTCTACTGGCGATCTCTTTAGAAAGAAATGTATTGGCTCTTGTTTTGAAAGGCTGAATTGTTGCAGGTAATGCAGTCAGTAGAAGAGAATGCTGTATTGTCTGCCCAGTTGAAGACAGTATCACAGACTCTAAGAGAGAATCAGCTGCGTTACACTGATCTGCAAAACCGTTATTTTAGACTTGAGAGGGAATACCAGACAGTGCAAGTTAACTCTTTCCAAGATACTACTCAGGTAAAGTAAACATAATCCATAATTTTTTTTCTCTACTGAATTTTTAGTCTCATGATCTTACCAAATTTTAAAAGGTTGTAATCTTTCCTAGTTTTCCTCTAATGCTTAGTGTAAAATAAACAGTTCATATCGCATTGGTACATTTTTGCTGGTTCATGTATTAGTTATGAGGTAATGAAAATAGTTCTCTTCTTTTTGTAGGTACATGCAGCTTTAACTACCCTCATTTGGACTTGATTTCTCAGATGTTTGCTTGTTAGTGTACACAGATTTACTAGTATCAGAGGGGTAGCCGTGTTAGTCTGAATCGCTTTTACAGATTTACTAGTCTTTGCAGTTATAAAATATTTGTATGCTACAATTTTTTTAAAACCATGAAGAGCAGGCCTCAATAAAACCTTTAAAAATCTAGTTGCCAAATAAATATGCGATATGGGTGAGAAAGTGGTCAAGATGATTTTGATGGGTTTAGGTCACAGAGATCCTCTTGAGACTGTCACTTGATAGGCTGATCATACCACTAAGCCCTCCCACTTGCCCTCCACCATCATGTCCTGCTGAGCCAGAACCTCTGGTCTCCCCCAGCAAAGGCAAAGAGTTGTGAGGTCACAGCCTACAGCAGAGTAACACAGACATGGAGAGCAGTTGGACTCTGGGAAGACTCAGTCAGAGAGACATGGCACAGCACCCATTTTACTTTGCATAAAGCTAATAAGTTGTTTGCTCCCTTTATCTATGAAAGGGATATGCACAGCTCTTGTTCTTCCCCACCATCACTCCACTCCCACCCCCACATAACAATGATTTACCCTGGGTTTAATAATAAGTGATTTTGTTAAATATAAAAAGTAGGATTTAAGTGGTTGCAAGTGATAACAGACTGATCAAAGTAAATTACTAAGCTAAATCAAACAAAATGCGCCAGCTAAGCTTAATATGCTAAGAAACTTGTTACATGCAATTTGTTACCCTAACAATAGTTCTAATAATCTTTTCTTGCAAGCTAGGCAGCCTCCTACCTTGGGCATGATCCTCCTCCCCCGTTCAGTCCTCAGACTGTTTCTAGCAGTCTTCTGGGTGGTAAGCAGAGAGTGTTCCCTGAGTGCCTGAAAACATGTTGTGGTATAGCACTGCCCCCAGAATGTAGATAGCAATGTCTTTTAAAGTGCAGGTTTCTTGGCCTTTAGCCACAAATGCCATGAGGTGATGTGCATCAGTTTCCCCTTCCACACAGCAGTGTAGGTTTGTTATGCCCTTGCTGCTTTGCCAAGCTTGTACCCTGTTCACAGGTATTAGCTTAGAAGCTACATGCTCATGGGACTTCCTTGTCCCTATCCTTGGCACGTACAGATTTTCGCCCCCAGAAATCAAGTATATTCTATATTTTTCAAGGGGTTACCATTAGTATCAGTTCCTTTGTTTTGACCCATAAGTGTTGTAGGAAAAAGCATAAGGTTACCAGTGAGTTTGATTGTTGCATTTATGCCATTTCAGTTCTCCTCCTTTCCTGTTCCTTACATACAGTGCCTTACAGCTTTTAAGGGTGCCTTACCTCCATCTCTCTCTTAAAAACAAAAAAAAACCCTAACCCTAGTCATCCTGTACTACCTTGTTGACTTATTGGTAGGGATCAATTAGTGTAAACCTACCATGTCTGCCCTTTTGTATTTCTGCAACGTGCTACTGATCCCCTGCACACTAAAAGCCTTTCTTTGGGGGCTTGTTTTGAGACTTGCGCTATCAAAGTTCACCCTGCTCACTCCATTTATTTATTCAAATGCAGAAATCCCCAAAGGCTAAACAGTAAATGTGCAAATGGAAGTAATGGAATCTTTGAGTCTTGTGGCTTGCATAGGAAATGTCCTCTTTGCAGCAAAGATGCACTCTTATTTTTGTGTACATTTGGGATTATAACCCCCAGAATTTAAGGATGAAATGGCAAAATATCAGATAGAAATACCACTAAGTTGCGGAATAATTTTTTTTCAACTGACAGAACCAATTTTGTAACTGGAAACAGGTTCTTATTTTTATAAGTATTATTTTAATATTTTATATTTTCTAGGGTGAAACTAGAGCAGAAGTTCCCCCAGGAGCTCCACAAGAAAGAGCCGCAGTTATTGTTGAAATAGACAATATGGAACTAAATGAACTAAGAAAAAGGTCAGGATTGATTACATCAGTTTATGGTGTTTTTTTTCTTATTTATGACAATGAAGCAGTCAAGCAGAAGTAGAACACGTCTATTTCTCTGGAGTGCTGTTTTGGAAGAGGAAAAAGGAGATGTTCAAGAGAACGAATGTTTACAGTGAATTTATCAGAGAGGAAGGATGGTCCAATGGTTAGTGTGCTGACCTAGGATATGGGAAACTCAGTTCAATGTACTGCTGTGCCGCATCCTATGTGAATGTGGCACCTCTCTGCCTTGTTCCCCATCAGTAAAAAGGAGGCAATAATGTTCCCCATGTCACAGGGATGTTGAGGATAAATACATTCAAAAGATTGTGAAGCATTAGAGCAAATAATAGATTTTTCAGTTCACTGGCAATTTAAAAAATATACAAAATGTTCTGTTTCAACTCAAATTTCGAAGGTTTTTTTTTAATTTTCTGGGGAATCAAAAAGTGTTTTGTATACAAAATGTTCTGTTTCAACTCAAATTGCGAAGGTTTTTTTTTTAATTTTCTGGGAAATCAAAAAGTGTTTTTTTTTTTAAATCCGATCAGAACTGAGCATTTCATTTCAGTTTGGAATTCTGACAAGAGCTAAGGCTAGGAGCTGGAGTCCTCCCTTATAACCTTTAGGCCCATAGTTAGGAATCTTTATTGGGATATAAGAGTAACACAGGTTTTATTTCTCTCTCTCTCTCATGTGAACAAGGGGTTTGCACTTGGGTCACCCAGATTGCAGGAGCATGCCTAACCACTGGACTGTCAGATATTCTGGTGTGGGTCTTCTTCAGTCTCTCCCTGTGGGACTGTCAGATATTCTGGTGTGGGTCTTCTTCAACTTCCACAGGAGAGACTGTTCTACTTTGTATAAATAATTAGTCATTGGAGCAGGGACATGGACCAAGCTGTCAGACTTCTTAGGAGAGTATCTAACTACTGTGCTATGGAGTCATTCCCACTCTTCTTCCCTGTGAATTGTCTTATGAACTAACAACTTCCCAGCCATTTTGTGATTCTAGTCCTCGTTTACATCAAAATACATGAAATCAGAAAGAGAAATTTTGAGTCTGGCCAGAACAAAATATTTAAACATGACAGAAACATGTGGAGTGTTTTGATTTGCTTGAAAATAGTCAGCAAATTCGGCATGAAGGCATACCTGAACTTCTATAAAACACACAAGTAGATTACAGAAAAAGATTATCAGAAAATTAATCTTTCTTTCTGTGCTTAAATTGCTTTAATATTTGCATTTACCATAGACTTGCAGAGACAGAGCAACAGTATGATTCAGTGCAACAGGCCCTGTCACAAGTGACAGAAACATTGTCAGAAGAAAGGAGCAGGAGAGAAGCTGCAGAAGAAGCCTTAGGACTTGCTGAGGAACAATGTAAAAGGTTGGAGATACTTGCACAATATTTTCCCCTTTTCAGATCATACGATATGATCCGACAATTGAAGCTATTCAGCAAACTTTCACAGGGAATTCCTTTGAAATCAGTGGGGGTGGGAAAGGTCCACATCAGCATAGAGATTCACTCATATAGTACTAATTGTAACATCAGGGCCTAAATGACCAAATGCAGGGGATTTTTTCCTCTTGGGAGAATGAGAGGTTTTTCCTTGTGAGTCACTGTGGCTGATGTTAATATTGATCGTCTAGTATATCTAAAAATTTGAGATTCAATTTTTTGTTTGTTATTTACCACTGTTGTTTGTGAGGTTAGTGATGAGAGATGTTGTTTTGTCATGGCTAGACACAGAATCAGTTAATGAAAGTAATGAAAACTTCTACACTGCTTGGCCAGTGTGTCTCAACCACAAATTACAGGGTCTTTGTGCTGATCTAAAGGAAAACATGTCTACCAGTTTCCTAGCTGAATTCACTAATCAGAATTGGTTTTGCTCCTTGAATGAGCAGAGCATTCCACATAAATTCGATTTTATACATGTGGAGTAGCCATATATCATTTACATGCAGACAAATAAAATCAACATCCTAATTGGAGAAGTACTAAATAATCAGCTAGAAAGAAAGGGGGAAAAGGCTGTTTCGGTAAGTGTGAATAAGTAAAACATACAGAATCGAAAATACAGGGTGGAAAAGAAAAAAGATAATTTAATTTTTTTTTTACCAAAAGTAGTAAGCACTAGCTGAGCTGTACAAAGTATGTTTCTGTAGGTAGATGATACTTGATAATGGTACTTGTAAAGAATAGGTAACTCAGTAATATTTCTCCTTGGCCTTTTAATTTCTCTTCTCTAGACATGAAACGAGTAGTTACAGCACTGTAGCTAGAGAATACACTGTTCAGATGGAGTCTGATGAGGAAAGAGAGGCTTTGATCATCAATCCTAGTGAACATATTGTTGTACGTAAGGTAAGGAAGTGTGTGATCTTGAAGAAATTCTGAGGTATACGTTGCCTAAAAATGGGCGCTCACACTGCCAACTGCAAATGGTACAGAGAATGGAGAAGTCTTTTCTCTTCAGATTCTTTTAATTAAATAATATTTTTAATAAATAATCTGAAAGAATGGAGCAGTAAATGACATGTGTGCTAAAATGAATAATAAAAGAGTAAAACTGTGAACAACTAAACGCATTAGCCCAGATGCTTAGCTGGTATAAAATCATCATGGCTCCTTAAGCTTCATTTATACCAACTGTAGATCTTCCTATGTTATGTCAAGTCTTCCTATGTTATGTTAGTCTGTATCTGCAAAAATGAAGAGTGCTGTGGTACCTTAAAGACTGATTTATTTGGGCATTAGCCTTCGTGAGTAAACAAACACTTGGAACATCTGACGAAGTGGGTTTTTACCCGTGAAAGCTTATGTCCAAATAAATCAGTTAGTCTTTAAGGGGCAACAGGACTGCTCCCTATTTTATGTGTAAACATTCTCAGGTGAGGGATTGCTGTTGTAAATATATCTGGAGATAGTCTTTTCAAGAGATGAACTAGAGGGGAAATATTATAGATATGTGAGAGTGCAATGCATTTACTGAATATATTTTTGAAGCAAATACCTGAAATCGACCAGCACCTCCCTCTGTAGTAAAAACCCCCAAACAGCTAACAGTCTTTTATAGTGCCCAGAGATCATGGTGATGGGCACACCGTGGAGTGATGCCTATGTATACATTCAAAATATCAGTGAAAAATTGAAAATATAACAGCATGTTTAACTTCATCTTTTAGATCATGGTGATGGGCACACCGTGGAGCGATGCCTATGTATACATTCAAAACATCAGTGAAAAATTGAAAATAAAACAGCATGTTTAACTTCATCTTTCAGTGTGCTGTGTTATAGATGGTAACCTATAGTTAATGCAAATGTAAATTAAATAAAATATATACCGTTTATGTATATTTTGGATGAATACTGAGTATTTACATATATAAATTGTGTATGCGTTATATAATTGTGTGTTTCTTTTTGGTCTGTGTGTATGTAATTAAATATTACAGTCATTCTGTATAGCCTCTTTTCCCTTCTTCCTCTCCCTCTGTATGTTTTTTAACTGCTCCATTCTTTTCCCCATGAATCCCTTATGTTAATGGCATGTTCTTGGGTACCCATTTCTGAAGACCGAGTTGGAAGGATATAGTGCTTCACAAATCAAGCTTTTATAATAAGAGCTGCTCTTGCATCTTTTTTGATGATTGCTTATTTGAAGTTGTTTGTTTCCTACAGATGAAAGGAGGAGCCCTTTCTTTCAAAAGATGGCTTCGAGGGCGAAGCCTTTACTGCTCCAAGATGCTGACCTCCCGAGCTAAATCCCGCTATTTATTCCTCACGTACTTGGTGACACTACATCTTGTTGTTGTTCTGTGCCTCACTGGCATTCTCTAAATGCACTGCAACTGCTGGGTAAATTATTTTCCTTTAGATAATGGTGTGCCAATTGAAGATAATGGACTTTTCACATGCTGTTATTAAACTATGCACTGGACACAGTTGTATATATCCTCATTACAATATGTGTATTTTGAACTTCTTTCAAGAAGTTTCTGTATATCTCGGTTACTCCAAAGTTGACTTGAATTGCTCCTTAACAAATGAATATTATATTTGCTAAAGAGAAGATATTCCCCTCCAATGCAACCCATAAAGAAACTGCTGCATTATATTGTTTGGGAATATATAATGATTGAATACTACTGAATTGGGTTGTAAATGGTATCTTTTCTATATAAATTTTATTTTAAGAGAGTTACACTATAAATTTTAAAGTAATATCAACTATTACTGTTTGTTAGCCTCTTGATCATAGCAAGAAGCTCTACAAAGTGCAATAAAAGAAGAAAGCTGGATTCATGATGGATTTCTTGTCTGGAAATAAAACTTTAAGAACTGAGCTCTGCTTGGATGGATGTATGAAGGGTAAATACTGGATCGTCTATGTAGTTACTAACAGGATGCACTATTATGTAATTGTATTAATGAGAAAAAGGTGCTACTGGATCGTCTATGTAGTTACTAACAGGATGCACTATTATTGTATTAATGAGAAAAAGGTGGCAGTTAACAACAAGAAGATCTTTGACACTACACGTTTAAATATAGACTCACAATTAAGACATTCCTCCTTGCTAATCTCAAACGGCTTTTAGTCTGACCACATCACTTCACACTACAGTTGCTCTAACCTATCTCAGTTAACTGACTTACTGTTGCAGCTTCTGGCACCCCCAGACAGGATCAGGCCCCACTCCACATTTAGAAGTCACATCCCTGGACATCTGTCTAGTGCATCTGGATTTTCATATTTTCTTATGTTCTCTTAAACCATTGGATAAATAGGTTATGTGATCATCCACACGTTTCAGAATGTTTCTTGTAATTCATACGTGAAAAGCACATAATACATTTTCAAGTGAGCAGTGAGGAGACATGCTTTCTGGTGTTCTCTGTATGAGCATAATGAAGCATCTTGTTTAAATATATACATGCTTTGTTATAATGAGCAATGAGTGACGTTTTCTGAGTCCATAAGTAAGTTCTTTGTAAAGAAGAGAGACTACTGCTAATGCAGTGACATGATGATTACTATGTAATTGGGAGTTTTGGATTATTTTATCAAGGATATCAGCAGTAGCACATTGTAGTACAGTAGTTCACTTTCTGAGCCTGTTTTAAACTACAAATTACTATATATGAGAAATGAAAATGGGAAATTAATATCAGTTGAGGCTTTAGCTGGATAAAAGTTCTTTAATATAGTATTCCATGTTGGATGTTAGTCTTGGATATGTAGTTTTTTAAACATGAGGTAACTCATCAACATCAAATGTATTACTTTTTTGGCAAATATGATTTCTTTTCAAGATTTACCACCAAAGGCTGTGGTCCTGCTACTGTTAGCAGTTTTTCTTCAGTTCATTAAATGTTTGTATCTTTTTATCAGATACATTGTGCTGTTTGCCCATACATTATTTATAGATTAATTTTTAATTAGAGCTAGAATAGAACATTGGTTTATTTTGGTCAGTGTTAGAAATTGTATTTTTGCCAGAAACGCATTAGCTGAGGCCATGTTTTTTGCCATATACAAATATTTATTTGATCCAGAAGAGCTATATTAAAGAAATGAAACCCATTAAAAGAGCCCTGTTAGAAAAGGGTTAGCAGCTCAAATGGCCTTGTTAAAAAGGAGTACATTATGGCCACCTTAACTTTCCTCCTAAGGATCACAGAGGAGTGTTTGCATTTGGGGAAGTCTATCCAAATAAGCTGTCAACTGATTGTCATATTCTGGGCATTGCCAGATTGGAGTGCCCCAAATACTGCTGATATTTGTGGCTCTCTGACTGTGAGGGACACACAAGCTGGCATGCACTTCATGTTCTGTAGGCTGTACAGCTCCGATTGAGTTCCACAGCCTGCCAGAAGTAACTACAAGCACACACATGCCTTGCCCAGTTTAGTTAATGTTAGCAGGTGATCCCCAACATACTCCCGGATTTGAATTTTCCAAAAACTATGGGCTCTGCAATGTGCATACAATTCCAGTGCACTTTTATAATCTACTATATATTAGAGTTTGTCTGTTTGTTCAAGAGCTCCTCCTAAATGATATCAGCTAGTATCACCAAATTCTCTGTACACCTTTCTCTTACCATAACTTGAAGCAAGTTAAGGTTTTGGTTTTACTTGGTTTTTCAAAAAAAGTTATGACCAAGCTTCTCTCTCCTGCTGAGTGTTGATGTCAGGCTGTCTCCTCTTGCACTTGTTAACCTGATAGCTTTGTTTACCTAATATGTAAATAGACCTTCATTGTCTCTACTGGCTGGTGAGAGAAACAGACACGTTTACCAGCTCCCCATAATATGCCTGGTTTAAACACATTTTAGTGATCGTTCTAGCATATATCCATAACTCTTAATATCCATTGCCTACATACATCATACAAGAATATTAATGATCAGTGACTTTAGTTTTCCAGTGACATTTTATGACACCTTTTAGATGCCAATGACACCTAATACATTATTGTTACAAAGAACATGTTGGGCCTGATGATCTACTGACAGAGAAGTGAGCCACAAATGAGTCTGTCACATCTGTGCAGGGTGAAAATAACATAAATGTCTTACAGGTACTGTCTTATTGCATCCCCCCCGGAGGGGAGGGGGGTTAAGGCAGAGGGTTGGGGTGCGATACAACAGTACCTGTAAGAAACATATGTGTGGGTTGAGTGCAAGGGGTTCAGGGCAGGGAATTGGGAGTGTGAGGGGGGCTATAGGGCATACAGGAAAAAGGCAAGAGATTGGGTGGTATGGGCAAGAGGGCAGAGTATAAGGGTGTGGGGCGGAAGTATGGGGGATGCAGGAGCCAAGGCAGGAGGTTGGGTGTGTGTGGGAGCTTAAGGCAAAGGTTGGGGAGTGGGCAGGGTTGGGCAGGCAGGCTAGGCCACCATATCCCCAGAGAGGGTAGCAAGGACTGTGCTGCCCAAATGCCCGAGTTCCAGGGCTGGAACCTCCCTGCTCCCAGATGTCCAGCGCTGAGGGCACAGGGGGAGTGATTCGGGCTCCTGTGGGATGGGGTCAGAACAGGAGGAATACCCATGACCAGCATTGGCAGGGGAACCTTTCCCCAGTATGGTGGCCTGCAATGTTCAGAGCCCGACTCGCACCCAGCTACTTTATCTGCGCCACACCAGAGTACACTGGCTTATTTTCATCTTTGCATCTGTGTTATAGTGATGCTTAAATGATCAAATGGACCAAGAAATTTTTAGGACTAACTTGATCCTCTTTTCCAGATTAGGCATTCCCATGCATATGTCTGTTTAGGAGTCATAGGAAGATGGCCAGGTTGGACTTGATTGTGGGGGTTTTTTTTATGTCATTAAATGAGTAACCCATTTTTGTAAGACCCAGCTTAAGAAAATGTTTCTCATAGAAGATCTGCATTAATACAATATTTCATCAAAATCTCTACTACTTTGGATTTTGTAATACCCAGGATTCATCGTCAAATTAGGCTTTTCATAATAGGGGCTGTAATGCTCATCTCTTCAACTTGCTTTTAGTTTTTTGCTGTGAAAATCCTCAACTAAAACCACTCGTCTTAAATTAGTTTTGATTTAGCAACACTTTAGAGACCAGTGGAACTGTCTGGGTTTACGGTGACATAACTGAACCGAGTATCTTTCCTAACTAATAGTCTTCACAAATGCAGTATGCATTGATGGCACAACATTCATAAAACATATTTGTTGGACTTGAGTGTATTACAAACCACACTCCTTGATAGCACTTGGTCTGTAGCTTCATTGAGTTCATTGGCATAATTCCTGATTTATACCAGTATAAATGATAACAGAATTGTGCCCATAGTTTTAAGACAAGGAAGGTAGGAGGAGAGAGGTAAGTACTGTCATTTACTATATGTCTGATTTTAAATGGTTTTTGCTTTATTATGTTAAACATTTAGGAACCTTGTTTGGAGCTTGAGCCTGAATTCATGACACATAGATTCACTTCTTCACTTTGCCTCTTCCTCTATGACCTTGTGTGGCAATTGTTTGTATTGTCCAGTTTTCTCTATTTGTAAAATGGGAATATACTTAATGACTGACATGAAAGAGAGGAAGGACATGAGGCTAGATGATTACAATGTGCTGCGCTCCTTTTGGATAAAAGGATCTTCATAAGTGACAGAATGTTATCTGGAAGTTTGAAAATGACAGCGGATGTTCACCTGTCCGTGAAGAATGATGGATGACCAGTTTAAAAGTTAGACTGTACAATTACAGTTGTTCAAAGATCAAGAAAGTTTACTTAATCAGGCAAGGGGGAGTCCGACAAAAGCTGGGATACATGCATACAAACACATGTGAATAGCCTTTCTTCTTGTGTATGGGACCTACTTTCTAGAAGTGAAAGGCCCTTCTAGAGAGAGCAGAAAATTGAACACCTGGAGAGTTTTGAAATGGAAAGCATCTAGTGACAACAGGGTTGTGGGACAAAGCTGATTGTTAGACCATGTGTCACGTGGAGTGAAAGTGAATAATTTTCCAGGGGGTTGAAGGAACCTTGTAGTATTTGAATTCTGCTACATAGGCACGTGGTACATTTGGGATATGGGGAGGTATTTGGTCAGATCTTGATACTTAAAAAATTAAAATTTATTCACAGTAATATCTGAGACGCTTCTATAATTATTTAATTTTCAGAAAGTAGGGAAATAATGCAGAATTTTAATTACTACTGTAGGTAAACATTGACTCCTTAATAGGGACCATTAAGAAAGGGGTAGAGAATAAGATGGTACATTTACACAGCAGAGCTAAATCCGAAATAAGCTATGTAACTTGAGCTACATTAATTGCATGGCTTAAGTCAAAATAGCTTATTTCGGCTTTTGGTGCTGTCTACACAGCAGTGAGTCTGAGAAAGTGAACTCTTCCTCCGACTTCCCTTAAACCTTGGAAAATGAGGGTTTACAGGAGTCAGATTAAGAAGTCCTCCAGCTGGACATTATTTCAACATTATGTCGAAGTAACTGCTTGTGTGTAGACGGGGACTATATTATTTCAGAATAACGTTAGTTATTCCGAAATAACACTGCTATGTAGACATACCCAGAGAATAACTTACTGCCTCTATATAAAATCATGGTACGTCCACATCTTGAATACTGCATGCAGATTTGGTTGCCTCATCTCAAAAAAGATATATTGACATTGTAAACATTTCAGAAAAGTGCAACAAAAATTATGGGTATAGCTGCCATAGGAGGAGAGATTAATAAGATTGGGACTTTGCAGCTTGGAAAAGAGATAGCTAAATGGATTTATAAAGTCATGTGTTGTGTGGAGAAAGTGATTAAAGGAGGAAAGAACTCTAGGGG